ATATATATATATATTCATTCGAGGATCAGTATGAAATCAGACTTCACTTTATCATGAACAGATGATACAAGACCAAATGTTAAAACAAGAGCATTCATAAGCAAAGCAAGCATTCGTGTGCTCAGAAAAAAGTAGCGATGAACAGATGCACCTGATCGGGTGTGAGTATCAACGATACGGTGAAACGTTTCTTGTGGGCTGGTCCACTTTCGTCCATAAGTTTATATTCGTGTTTCAACTGCAATAATTCTATAGTTACCATTACGACTCGCTGCCAAATGAGAACTACACTCATAATCAACTAAATTCATCCGAAAGAAATAATCATCAACTAACTGAAACGCTATTTTGGACGGCTCAGAGTGAACGCATGAAAATGGGTGTTCATTGCCATAAACTACCGATAGCTGACACATTACCAGTTTAGCAAAAATATTTGCGCCCTATGTGTGCTGCACTGATTAATAAACTCTCTTCAGCTACTCTTCGTTGACTTATGTAAACCAAAATGTTTATTCAAAGTGGATGAACGTCCTTTTAGAATGATGAAACGATTGTCTGAACCAAATATTGAACACTCTTACATTCATACAAACAACAAACAATATTAACCTTATTAAAACGTGCTAATTCAGCGATACGGCACATGGGTGTTTTCTCTTTGCATTCATCCATTTGAGCGTAATTGTAGACATTCTTCAACGGAGCCGGCTTTTGACCTAAAAATTTTGAACAGACAGAACTATCCAAATTCATTTTTAGTTATTTATAGCGAATTTTCACGAGTTTAACAATGATGACATACCGGTAAGATGCTGTCCACACCACGGCTGAGGTTGAAAAGCAGGTGATTTCTTTTTGTAGTCATCATTTACTGTCGCATGAGAAGACTGCTCAGAGACTTTTACAACTGCTGGTGATGAGTCCAGCATTGTGGTGCCAGCTCAAAAGCTATCTTTAAACACACCCAGAAATTGAATTTCTGCAATGATTCTCAGTTGAATCGTTCAAAAAGTTCATCACATTCAGTGGTAGCTTACGAATTCAATTTATTCGATAACATCCATATTCGTTCTAAAACACAATCAAACGATGCATGA